TCTTTTGTGGTGAACTTCATAATTGCAGGAGTGAGTGAGTGAGTGAGAGATTATGGCGCAAAACCAAAGTTGATTATGGTGCGCCAAACGCGAGATTGGGTGAGTACAATTGATGAAATTAAAATACAATAAATAAAAACAAGTAGACAAATGTATCAAATCCAGAGGATGAAGTCATATAAAAACAAGTTAAAACCACAACATTTAAAATTCAAGACACAATCTTCAAAACAAAATTACATTAGGTGATAAAAGCCAGTCTCTTAAATAATAAAATAAATTACAATTCACCTCCCTTCCGATTAAACAGTCGAGAGGTAAGTCACAGCTATCAAAATATTTCTGACGAAGACTATTAAAACTTGGACACTCAATTAAAATATGACGGACAGATAGACAAACATTACAATTTGAACAAACAGGCTCATTCTCAGCTTTTAAAAGGTAGTTATGTGTTACTCTAGTGTGGCCAATTCTGAGGCGTGAATTCAAAAGAACTTCCTCCTTACGATTTTTGGTTAATTCCCAATGCTCAATTCTAGGCTGTACATGTCTTAATTTATTTTGAAGCTGAACATCCCAAAGTTGCTGCCATTTTTTTCGGATCTTGTTTTTCACAACACAACAGATGTCTCCAAAAGGGATGAGACGACTGGACAGTTCAACAGCACATTTCGCTGTGATATCTGCCAGCTCATTCCCTTTTATTCCCACATGCCCGGAAACCCAGCAGTACAGGACTTCATAATTGTAGACGACTATCCACGACCTGTTAAGTTTATATGTAACTTAAGAATATCCACTATTACTGGATTTTGAGTGTTAGAAAAAGCTTCTAATGATTTAAGCGCACTATACGAGTCTGTATAAATTATAACATTTTTGTGGGGCGAGGAAAGCATATTATGCAGTAGAGTCGAGAAACAGCTTTCAAAAACCTAAAAATCCGTAGCATAGAGGTGAGGTTGTATCGCCTTTGTCGTTTGTCTTCTATAATTGCAGGAAGGTTGACTTTTATTTTCCTCATTTACAGTTGAAGAAATTTCCTCGAGAACTGCACATGCAGAGGTAGAAGCAGTTTGCTTTTCTGCTAATGTAGAAGGTTTTTCAGAGACTTTTATAGGTGACTCATCTGAAATACATGTTTTTAAGTCCTCTTGATATGTTTTCCAACTTCTGTTCATATTCAGTAAGAGATCTTTGTGAATTGGATCAGTCATTGGATTTTTTGAGCCATATTTTTCACATGAGGTTTCTTTAGAAGCCATTAAATCATATTTAATAGTCTGCACTGCATCTAGGGAATCAATCTTAAGAGAGGTTCTATAGTCAGTGACAAGTGTATCCATTAAGTTGAATGCACTTTCCACTAATGGGCCATGGAAGCAGCTAAGGCAGGCTTTGACCAATTTAGCCAATGTAGGATACTTATAATCATTTGTGAAATCATCATCTTTTAAATTAAAAACTTTAGACCAATATTTATCAATTGTACACTTGACTTGATTTCCACTTTCATCAGATGTGTAGAGCATTTCTTTGGTGATATCAATATCACTCTGGTATAACCTTATTTCAGCTTCTACTTTTGACTTTTCATTATCACTAAAAATATGGGACATAAAAGATGATAATTTTTCAAAAGCTAATATTGTACTGGTTTTACCTCTTAGCTCTGGATCTAATGCTGTAAAACTAATTAGATATGAATTTTTAAGGGGTAATTTCTGTTTCATATGCTGTGCTGTATTAGTATAAGCTTTCATCAGAGAAATTTGGAATTCTTTTGCTATTGGATGATTTTTTGATAATTTCTTCAGGAGAGTGGAAGCTTCTGCACCAGTAAATATTACTTTGCTAGGTAGATGGAATTCTGGATTTGTGACATCAACCTTTAATAAATCATTATAAGATGTGCACTCTATATTTTCTGGCTTCATAAAAAAAAGAGAAAAATTTTGCCATCAATTTATAAATACTGGAATGTATTAAATGAAGCATTGGTTTTTTTGTTTCAAATAATTTAATATATGTGTTGAACTCTGGTAATACTGCTGAATATAATGCCATATGCAAAATAAGTTTTGTTTTGCATAACAAATAACCCATTTAGTATTCTTTTTTTCCGAGCTAAAGCATCCTTTGTGAGTTGTTGGGAATGCAAGCAAGCAATTTTTTTCTGAGCTGCAGAAATAATTCTTTTATTGTATACAGTTTCAACATAAGAAAAATAATCCCCTTTATCAGTTTTATCCAAGTAGTGAAAATAAAATGCAATAAGAGCATCCCACAGATCTTTGATTCTTTCTAAAACACATAAAATGTACACCCACCTATGGTCTGGTCTCTTCAAGGGCTTAAGTTTTTTAATGGCAAGGGATTCACAGATTTTGAAAAAATTTTCTCTTTTACTGCAGCTTTTCATATCAAAATAGATGTCATCAAACAAATCTTCTAAGTATCTATCAAAACATGAAGCAAATTTTTTTGCACAGTTATTAGCTGTGTGACATGTGTCACCATCAATATCTAATAAGTGGGGTGCTTTGTTTGATCGTAGTCTGGTTTCAACACCCTTTTTTTTTTCCACGCATGGTGTTACATGAGTCCATTAATACACTAATTAAGTTTGCCCATGGAATATTATTATCTTCAATAGTATTAACAACTGCTTTAAAAACAGCTTCTGAATTGCAAGATTCCATCTTTAGAGATGCAAAATGATGAACTACAACTTCATTTTGATTGTTGTCATAAAACTGCACCAATATTGCCAGTATACTTTCTTGAGCATTGCTAGTACTTTCATCCAAATTTAGAGAAAATGGAGTCTCCTTTAAAGTTTTAATGATATTTTCCTTAATAGTTTTTGCGAGCCCATATTTCATCTTATAACATGCAGTAGTCCTGGACATTTCCAACGAGTTTAGTGCCGTCTGATCGCGGCTCAACTGTTTGCAGAGTTCAATTAAATTGGGAGCTACATTGAAAGAAAGAGAATTCTCGGCGATAAACGAAGTTATTTAATACCTCTTGGCGTGCTTTTCTTGTCACTATATCCAATGGCCGAGCATCAGTCTCCAGTAAGTCATCAGTATTTTTTGAATTAGCATAATTACTTAAAGTCATTGAATGTCTAATGCACTTTGAATATTTTATGTGCGTCACAGTTTTAGAATGATTTGTGAAAGCCTTGAATCCTTCCCCACCATACTTCAGCAGTGAGTTACAAAAAACACAATAACACAATATGCTTGTCCAGCAACATTTATTTTCTTGCACCATGTGCCGATGGTATCCCCATTACCATCTCTCCGTTCAATCCAATTCCACCTAAATGCATTCCGGACACCTTCTTCTAATTGTATAATATCACTATTTATATCGAGAAATTTCATAGTGAAATTCTCTTGCGTACATAAATAAAAAAATATTTCAATAAACGAAACGAAAAATTTACACGTGCATCAATAAATGAAACGAAAATTTTACACAGCGGAGAAAAAAAAGTTGAGAAGCGATCAATGACAAATAGCTAATACGGCGAAAAATCCCCCTTCTCTACTTATTGGCGCCACGCCAGGAGAGATAAGACCTTTGAACCCAGAGTCACGTGATCGCACATCTGGTCGAACGAAGTCTCTCCCTTTTTTTTCTGCCGCGCCTACTTGCCGAAAAGAATCCAGAAGAGAATGTCCGAGAACCGGGGGAATGAGTCATAACTCGCAATAAGGAAAGAACAAAAAAGAAGTTTTTTTTCCCTTTTCACGCATTATCACTGCCTTTGGAGAAAGAAGGGAAAAGTTTTCACTACACACACTGACCTTGCGTTTTCTGCTTTCAAAGCAAAACAAATTACCCAGATCAAAATAAATAATTCATTATTATTCCTACTTCCTTTTGAACGACGATCCCGGAATTTCCGGTATCGAAGTTCAAATGAAAACTTAAATACCGGAGAAACATTCTTAAAGCTAAAAAATTTCTTAAAATATCAACATTCACAAATCAACGTTACAACAAAAAGGAAACTTTATTGCAACTACAAATATCACAGCATAAGTAAACAAAAGTTCGCTAGAAAATACAGCTACTACTGAGATGAGTTGTTTGTTCTCGGCTTTTATAAGCTTTATAATTAATTTCTCGAATATACTGGAAACATCTATAAATATCTGGATTTTTGTGGATGGCAACAGCAATTACGAGGTATTTATTTATTAGGTATTAAATGCACGCGCTGTTCTATTTTTAACCTTCCAACGCAGCTGTCTTTTCAAAAATCGTCTGCGTTGCTAAGGCAACATGAAGCGTGTGTGTGTGTGTGTGATTATGGCAAAGCCTCGAGGGCTATCTGCCTAAGAGGAGGGATGCCTTCGTGGAGGACTTTCTAAGGGAAACTGGTTCGTATACACGTTACACATGGGGAAAACCACGAAAACACCCAGTCAACATGAAGCAAATCTAATTACAATTCTAAATAAAAAAAAAAATACCAAAAAAAAAAAAAAAAAAAAAAAAAAAAAACAAAAAACTAATAAATAAATACTATGAATCCGTAACAATATGAATTAAGTAATAATTAATAATAAAGCAAAGTGCATTCGCATGCATGCACCAATATATCGTACAAAACTATGATTGGAAAACTGAGACCATGAGTTCGGCTATCGGGAGATGCGTACAAGTTCTGAGTGCACGTGTCCCCTAAAAGCCGAAGAGTCCCCTAGAAGCCCTAAAAGCCCTGAACGCAGGCTACTCACACGCATTTGTAATTTAAGTAGTGTGTGTGTGTCATCTCGCTGTGAGTAATCTAACAACACTGAATAAATTATCGTTAATTACTTAGCAGTAAACATTTCCTTTTTTTCTTCGTCGATATGTTATTTTATTATTATTATTTGCCGATATATTGGCCGGGCCGCAAAAATATTTGTTGCGGGCCGCGAGTTTGACATCCTTGCATTACAGCCTCACTGTTGGCATATACCCAAAAAGAAGTACTTGCTTTGGCAGTACAGATACTAAAACTGGAACGATACAGAGAAGATTACATGGCCCCTGCGCAAGGATGACACCCAAAAAGAAAAATATCGAAGTATTACAAAAGAGCTTTTGTCACATAACAAAAGAAATATAGTTACGAAAATCACGAAGCAATACTTTACACAATAAAAAACAAAAACACACTTTCGAAAAATAATAAAATTCTTATTTCAAAATGAACAAGTAAAATATTGTCTTGATTATGCAACATCCTTCCCCTTTTTGAGTAAGTGGGAAACGACTCAAAAACATAAAAAAAGGTTTAGTACAGAGGTTCTCAACCTTTTGACTAATGCGTACCATATAAACAAAAATTGAAAAACTTAATTACCACCATTACATTTTACAACGATTATTTTTCAATTTCTCAACAGAAATGTTTAAAATATATATATATAGTGCCATTTGCACAACCTATTGGCTATTTGCATTAAATATGCAGATGTAAAAAATATTAGATTGAAAATTTATTACCATTTTAATTATCAAAATTTAAGTTAATAATACTTTAATTATAAAATTTAGTGCAAAATTCGAGCCTGTATAAGATAGATCAATTTCTTTATTAGTTTTCAACCATAAACTAGGATCCACTTTAATTTTATTGTGTACTTATTTTTCAAATATAACATGGAAGAAAAATCCTTGTTCACACAAATAAGTTTTGCAAGAAGGCAATAAAAAATTAATAGCTATTTTTAAAATGTCTGTAATATCTTTTTTTCGTTTCAGCCAAAAGTTAATATTTTTGAAATCTTCAGTTAGTATTCGATAACAGAAAATTTCTGTCAACTGTTCATTTTCTTCACGAGATAAAATTTTAGGTACTTTTGAACAAAATGGATTTCCAATCCAATTTTCTTTTTCATAATCCTCGGGAAATTCATGTTCAAATTATTTATCAATGAAAAACAATGATTTTTAATGTCAGATGCTAATTCTCCTTTTATTTTAAAATTATTTTCGGTTAGAAACCTTTCTGAAAGGCGTAAAAAGCTTAAAATGATATGATCCAATTCTTCGATTATTAGCTCGAGTTTTTTAATCATTGCATTTATTTTATTCTAATGGTAAGCAAATTAACACTTTGTAATTCTAAATTTAATTCATTTAACATTCCAAAAATATCAGCTAAATATGCTAAACGTGCTAACCATAATCCTCTAAATAAACATTTTCTTCAATTCAAATTTTGGATCACAGAGGAAATTTTGAATTTCTGATCGAAGTTCAAAAAGTCGGTTTAAAACTTTGCCTCTGAATAACCTTACTTCAAAATATAACAAAAGCATTTCATGTTCATTGCCCATTTTTTGACATGAAATCGTAAATATTCTTGAATTTAAAGCTAGGCTTTTAATAAAATTAGTAATTTTTCAATTCAATGTGATTTTCAGGTTTTCGGAGGTTGTTTTGGCTAATACTAAATACTAAAGTTTCACGATGAATGAAGCAGTTAGTAAATTTAGTTTCAGGTGCGACTTTCTATATTTCAGAAAGAACACTGGAATGTTTTCCTGTTAAAGCCCGAGCTCCCTCACTGCATACGGCAAAGCACTTATTCCAAGGAATATCATTTTGAGACATAAAATTGTCAATTACTTTGAAACGTCTTTAACTTTACATACTTCGAAACTAATAATTGAACAAAGTTCATTATATCAATACTTTCACCCAACTGCAATTCGAAATACTCACTGTGTTGCAGTGGCGGCTCGTAGCTAAAATTAGTGGGGGTGCTGTTCCAAAAAAATTTAACCTTTGTTTAAAAATTGTGTAAAAGGAAACGAACAGGTATAAAAAAGAAAATTTATTTTGAAACTTCATGAAATCTTACAAGGAAAAAATTAAACATTTCTTAATTACTTTAATTAAAATTGTTACAGTTCAATCTTTGTTTATTCATTTAAAAATGAAGCCCTTTCTTCTTGTTTTAATTTGCGCGAAATGATCAATAATTTTCTCCTTGATCTCTGGATGACAACTGAGGAAATATTCTATATTGAAAGCAATGCAAGCGCATTAGTCTTTCCGAATTCTTAGTGCTTCTTAGAAAAGTTTTCATTTTTTTTCAGTGTTGGAAAGCAGCGGTCCGTCTCTGATGTAGTCTTGGGAACTCTCAAGAGAATTTTTATCAGTTTCGCAATTTCACTAAGAACATCATCTAGATTATTTTCGAAGATAAATTTCAGTAGCTCAATTAATTTACAGTATTCATGGATATCAGACCTACGATAGAATACTTTTAGTTCAGTTTCAAGCTTTTCTTTGTTAATCATTGGATATGCTTCAGTGATCAGTACAATTTCTTCTGTAGTATGTTCATTTCTAAACTAGCGAAGCATTTCTTGTTAAACAATTTAGCAGCTGCTAAGTGTTTAGTGGAAGAATATCTGCGCATTATATCAATACACAGTATAAAGTCACATATTTCCTTAGCTTCGTGTCTTTGAAAAATTCTCACAGTACTTTGAGTTTCTTAATTCTAAAATACCAGTTTTGAAATGTGTGACATATTTATTACCTTTAAACACACTAATTTCTCTGCTTTTAGTTGTATATTATTTCAACATGAGGCATAATCTGATAAAAAAGCTCTAACCAAAACTTGAAATTATCGTCATTTAGATATTTTTAAATTTCTGTTGCTTTTGCAATAGTTTGATCTGCATTTTATGATGATTGAATTTCAGTAAGGCAACTTTTTGAAGGTTTCACATTTTCATGAACTCTGTTTATGGTGAAGTTCCTCTTTATGGAGGGATACCACACGCGCGGATTAAAAACGAATCCCCTTTCCGACGGCACTCCAGAATTTCGGCACTGCAAAAGCGACAGTGCTCTCTTCGCTCTGCCTGGCTTGCGTGCTGCACTAGCGGCTCAAAGCAGGGATGGCTGTGGTCTTCAGCAGAAAATGGGCTCCAGTGGTCGTACATGTAAGACGTACATCTGCTCGCTCCTGATTTTGTGATATTGGAACTCTTCTTTTATTATACCTGATCAGAGTGCATGCCGCTGTAACAGTAGGCCGGCATTGCAATAGACTCTGATTGCTTTCCCCGTTGCTATATTCACTGCCATCCGCTCCACCATGGATCGAATGATTGATTTTATTGCCGCTGAGATTACCAACTTAGAATGCGTTGAAGAAGCTGATGGATCTCTCTCATCTAAAGATGCACGAGACCTTAAATTCCTTCGTCGTCTCAAACTTTTCATCGACAGAGAATTGAATGCTGATCGTTCTTCTACTTCTCTTCCCAAACCAAACATCCCTGCTCCTAAGGTTAATGACAACGATTCTTCAATAACTGGAATCAACAAAACTAATGCCAGACGAGCCAGCAGCCCTGCGCGCTCAGATGAAGAGCAGTCAAAAAAATATAAAGCATTGGATGAAGACAGCTCCGATACGGACTCAGGTCCTAAAGGAGATATTACTAGAAGACCAAGAAAACCCTCTCGAAAGCCTACCCTGACGAATTCCTCTGATTCGACAGCTGAGCCGACCACGGAAACAACTTCTGATAATATGGATACAGCCCCAGAAGTACAGGTCGCAGATCCGGCTACCGAAACACCAAAAAATAACGTCATGGACACTTCTCCCAGTCCGCAACCAATGCTGACGCTACCATCGACCAATCCTAACACGAGCTCAAGAAAACCACCGCCTATCATGGTTAAAGATGAAAGATTCAAATTTTCAGAAGTTAAAGCACTCCTCATCGGTTATAATCTGCAGGCTGAAAAGGATTACTTTGGTCAATTAATTCAGAGTGGATTTAAAATCCAATCCAAATCCCCTGCGCTTTATAAACAAATCGTACAGGTCTTCAAAGACAAAGGTATTCGATATCACTGCTTCGAATTGCCTGAAAACAAATATGTTAAGGCTGTTATTAGACATCTCCCCAATGACACGGACGAAAGCGAAATTGCTGAGTATTTAACTCAAAAAGGTTATAGCATCATCAGAGTGAATCAACTCAAACGAAGACGAGACGGAAAAGTCATAAATATGCCTCTCTTCTTGATCACCCTGGATCGTAAGGAAAAAAGTAAAAATATCTTCGACGAAGAATTCATCCTAGGAATGAGGATTAAAGTAGAAAGATACCGAGGTAGAGCTGGACCCCTGCAGTGTTTTCGCTGCCAGGGATTTCACCATGCTCAGACACATTGCCACCATGAACCTCGGTGCGTTAAGTGTGGAGACGCTCATCAATCGTTTTTATGTAAAAAAGACAAGAATACTCCCCCTACGTGTGCGAATTGTAAGATGACTGGACACACTGCGAACTTTCGTGGTTGTGAAAAGTTTCCAAAGCCTAAAGCTCAGGTTCAGCCATCATTTTATGCAGATCGAGTAATTAGTAACAAATCCTACTCGCAAGCCTTAGCCAGTGGACTTGCCCCTGAAGCGGTAAGCGAAGCTAAAACCTAAAACCATTCTACATGAACTTAAAAGCTTTGTCGCAATTATTCAAAATTCTGGACTTCCCCTGCTCTTCAAGCAACTAACCCAAGAAAAAAAACGCTCTACCTCAAGAAAATGTGATCTCAGATAATGGGCCAACACACTAATAAGGCAAATTTAATCCGCTTCATGGTGTGGAATTCAAATAGTCTCCGCAATAAAATCTCAGAACTGCAAGAATTTCTGTACGAGCACGATATTGACTTCGCGCTCATTACTGAGACACATGCTCAAAGATGTTACAGTCTGAATATCTCCAACTACAGAATCTATCGCTGTGATAGAACTAGCCATCGAGGCGGAGGTGTCGCCATCTATGTGAAGAGAAATTTACCATCTTGCCTAGTTAAAGAGTGTAAAGACTTTGGTTGCGAGCTGATTACAGTGTGCATTACCCTTCCGGTGTACAAAAATATTTATTTCAGTGCTTTTTATAATCCACCGCATAATGTGTTAACTTATAACCTACTAGACTCAATCCTTCCTCCTGATACTCCTACGATCCTGGCAGGAGACCTAAATGCCAAGAGCATCGCATGGAATTGCCGTAAAGGAAATACAAACGGTAAAACTCTAC